ATATTTTGTTTGTTTTCTGTTAATTCTTTTGTCTTTTCTTTTGCCCAGAAAATGCTCATTCAAATGAGAAAAAATCAAATGCTTCATGTTTATTAAAATTAAAACATTCAATCGAATAATTTATTGAAAAGAATTTTACAAAATTGACTTGTTTGAAAATACGGAATTTCATTGCATTATCAGCCAGATTTAAGCACTTTTATTAATTGAAATTGTCTTCAAATTTTAAAATTATAATTTATCACAAATTGATGGCAAAATATAGAATATTGGTGCCTACTAATTCAATGACATGTAGAAATCATGTTAATCACATCTCAACAATTTAGTCAATGCAATAGAAGAAGAGCTTCAAAACTCCATTCAATAAACAAATTTCGTGCAACTTGAAAAAGGTTCATTCTTTTTGACTATATTGAAATAATAACGTGGTCTAACCTCTGTTCGCAATTTCGCTGAGATGTCTAAATAGCCAACCTAATAGAGAGAAATTTTAAACTTTATTTTGCAGATCAAATGAAAATTTAAGTTGTACTTATACAGCTTCTTTGACTCAAGCCAAACCAAATTCACCTTTACTTCCTCAGATGAAATAAATATGCGCACATCATTGAAAATAGTGATGGGCATGCAAGCGTCTAAGCAGCGAATCACGCCTAGAATTGCTTCTGATTTTACCTTAATATGGAATCGCATAATTTAAATTGATACTACTATAGATTTGCAATGTGTACAAGGGATTGTGTGAGTATGGTTGTGGGGAGCAGGACGTTAGCATGGCTGAAGGAAAGACACGCAGGCGGATGTGATGGCAATTACACCAGCGACGGAATGAGATCCCCAGTGTAGAGAACTTTTGACCAATCAATAGTCACATTCATTGCGTTGTTATTACACTGAAAAGTGTACAAAGAACTAAGGGTTCCGAAAATCATTCGCACACTAAACACTTAACCGGAGACACAACTCAGGACATGACGGATATACACCTCTAGCACAACAACACCCGAATAGAGGTATTCCTCGTCAAATGCCCGTTACTTCTTTGTTCTGTTGAAGAAGGGTGGATAATCCAGGGGGACATACTTAACTAGAAAAACTTCCAATTAAACAACTGAGAATAAATCAAACATTTAAAGCATAGCAGTAAGCAATAAGAAATAATTCGTAAAAGACAACATTCTTCTAAAAATTAAATGTGCTCTTAAAAAAAATTAAAATGGCAAAACTCCAAAAAACTATGGATTGCTTATTCTTTTATAGAATTTAGCAGCCAAATCAAGGTAAGGCTGCAAAACCGGAAAATAAACCTTCACACGCTATTGTTGTCAATTGGCGCCAAATGAGTACGGATAAAACTGTCATCTTGAACCTCAATGTTCTATTTGTGTGCATATGACAAAATTAATGTTCTTTCGATTAAGTGGTTATGGAAGGCCCTTTCAAAAATCATCTCTTTATTTAAAGTCATTTAAATTTCATTTAGTAAGGTGAGAATTCATATAAAACTTTAAATTCCAATTCAAATACTACTTAAACGAGTAAGTAATATTGATGCTCAAGTGAGATGCATTTCAATGTATTATTAGTCAATGAAAAGTGAATTCCAGGTTCTTACTTCGATGATATTTTCGTGAAACTTCTTCTCTATTTTTCCCACATTAGCGTGCTTGCTTAAAAGAATGAATAAAAATAAATTTTCCAATTTCAAAATAATTCGTAAACGCAAAAAATTAGCACAAATATTTTGGTTTATTCAAGTTACCTTCCAGAAATTTGCATTCACATGTATCTTAGATGAATAGTGTTAAAACTTAGGAATTGAAGAAATATTTAGTCGGCAAGGTTGTCATAAGCGCATCACTCTGGATTAATCACTACAATATTGAAAATACTTCATTATTTTTGTTGGATATCTCGTTTGTTATTAACTATCAAAATTATTGTTTATTATAAACGTCAAAAACATGTGGACAATTGATCATCTCCAATATAACCCAATCCATTGTATATCACATCGTCATGCATTTCAGTTGATTAACAATCATGCACCGTTATTTTACTAAATTCGTTGAATCGACAATGAAACACTGTTTTTTTGTTCTAAAATACATTTCAAAACAAATCTATTCAACTTGAGTTAATATCGATTACCCTTATTGACAACATTAATTGACAAGATGCGAGTGGTATGATAATAGAATTGATGGATTAACGATGGTCACTACTTGAAAAAATATCAAGTAATTCTCAAATCAGACAAATTGTTAGACCTAGCATGGTTCAGATGAAGTTTGATGCAAGGCTACCAAACATGTCTTACCCTTAATTTGAAATTATTTCTCAAATTGATGATCACAA